CCCCATTCCCCCACATTCCCCCACACTGGGGCAGCAAGACCCCAATCACAGCTGATGGACTCCCCTCTCCCATTCCACCACATTGGGGCAGCACGACCCCAATCCCAGCTGACAGCCCTCTCTCCTCATTCCCCCACACTGGGGCAGCAAGACCCCAATCCCAGCTGACAGACATGCACCCTCCCCATTCCCCCACACTGGCACAGCAAGACCCCAATCCCAGCTGACAGCCCCCTCCCCATTCCCCCACACCTGTGCCAGCAAAATCCCAATTCCAGCTGATAGCCCCCTCACACTCAGACTGGGGCAGCAAGATCCCAATTCTATCTCATCCAATACGCATCACTCTAGATGTTACAGCACGTGCTTAGCAATGCAGTTGTGTGTCAGCTTGGATTATGCATACAAGTTAAAGGAACAGGATGGGAACCCACAACACTTGACTTGAAGGCAAGAATGGTGTCAAAGCTGATGACTTAACTCTCTCTTCGATCTCGAATTATTTTCTGAGCAGTTAGTGTTTTTTTCCAGTTAGGAGCAAATTACTGCAGATGCTGGAATCTACTGAAACCAACAAATGCTGGAGATCACAGCAGTCAGGCAGTGTCCACGGAAAGAGAGAGAGAGCACGAGCTAATGTTTTGAGTCTAGGTGGTTTTTTTCAGAGCTGACATGAAGTGTGGAGGGGGCAGCGTTTATGCTGTTGTGTTGTGGGGGGAGGGCAGGGATGGTATTTGGAGTGTAGAGTGCTGGGGTAAACGGATATTGATTGTTCAGATTAAGTGATCAGAATGTGAGAATGGCAGAACAATGGTGTGTCTAACTGCCAGACAGGTAAGAACAGGCAGTCCCACTCGGGTGGGAGGAGGGGAGGGAGGACATGGTGACAGAGGATGTAACAAAGCTAAAAGAAAGGGCAGGAATGGGAGTTGGTTCATAATTTGAAGATGTTGAACTCCATATTAAGTCCAAAAGGTTGTAAAGTGCTTAGTCTGAAGATGAGATGTTGTTCCTCCAGTTTGCGCTGTGATTCACTGGAGAACTGCAGCATGCTGAGGACAGACAAGTGGGCATGTGAGCAGGACACTGTTAAAATAACCGGTTATGGGAAGGTCGGGGTCATGCTTGCGCACAGATTGGAGATGTTCTGTAAAAGCGGTCACCCAGTCTGCATTTGGTGTCTCCAATATAGAGTAGTGTGGCGAACACAATATGCAAGATTGGAGGAAGTACAGGTGAAATGCTACTTCACCTGGAAAGACTGTTTAGGCCCTTGGATGGTGAACAGGGAGGTGGTGAACGGGTAGGTGTTGAAGCTTCTGCGGTTATGTGGGAAGGAGGATGTGGTGTTAGTGGTCGATGAATGGACTAGGATGTCCTGGAGAGAATTGGGCAGAATTGCTGGGCCAGCATAAATTGTCTATCCTTAGTTGCCCTTGAGAAGATGGTGGTGAGCTAACATCTTGAATCACTGCAGTCTGTTTCCTTTATTCATTTACGGGATGAGGTCATCGCTGGCTAGGCAGCATTTATTGCCCATCCCTAATTACCCAGAGAGCAGTTGAGAGTTAACCACGTTGCTGTGGGTCTGGAGTCACATGTAGGCCAGACCAGGTAAGGATGACAGTTTCCTTCCCTAAAGGACATTGGTGAACTAGATGGGTTTTTCCAACAATCGGCAATGGATTCATGGTCATCATTAGATTGTTAATTCCAGATATTTTATTGAATTCAAATTCCACCATCTGCCATGGCAAGATTTGAACCCAGATCCCCAGAATATTGTCTGGGCCTTGGGATTAACAGTCCAGCAATAACGCCACTAGGCCATCACCTCCCCATTTGATATAGTTAGAGCTACAATGCTGTTAGGGATGGAGTGCCAGGATTTTGACTCAGTGATACTGAAGGAATGGTAGTATATTTCAGAGTCAGGATGGTGGGTGGCTTGGGAGGGAGTTTACGGGTGGTGCTGTTGCCATGCATCTGCTGTCCTTGTCTTTCTAGACGGCAGTGCCATGGTTTTGAAAGATGGTGACTAAAGTCCCTTGATAAATTTCTGCAGTGCCTCTTGTAATGGTACAAACTGCTCGTGAGTCTCAGTGGCAAACGGGGAGTGAGTGTTTGTGAATGTGGTGCTAATCACGTGAATTGTTTTCTTGATGGTGTCAAACCTTTTGAGTTTTGCTGGAGCTGCACTCTTCCAGGTTACTGGGCTGTATTCCATCATGAATGGTGGATATTGCCCAGGTTGTACTGCATGTGAATATGGACTGTTTCAGTATCTGAGTTGTCGTGAATGGTGTTGAACATTGTGCAAACACCAGGTGAACATCCCGCTTCTGACCTTATGATGGAAGGAACTGAAGACTCTGAGGTGACTGTTGGTCCAGCAGTCCTTCCAATAGCATTGATTTTGGTTGAATATAGAACATTGCCTAGAACAATTTGAAGGAGAGGGAGTGCTTTCTGATCTCTGGTTATTGGCATCCAAGCTTATATAACCTCACGAGAAGTCAGTACAAACTTGACTTAATATCTGTCCTGATGAGTGTGATAACACAGTCATTACTGTGAACGAGGCTAATAATTGAATGAGGGTGAATTCCAAACCCACGTTAGCAGTGTGAGAATTTGATTTGTTTCCCAAATTTGGCAATAATTTTGTATAAATAAAAGTAATGATGACATTTTTAGATTACTACTTTTCTTTTTAAACAAGAGAAGCCACACATGCCAGAATTAAGTTTGCAGCTGATCTTCAGTGAGAATTTATGGAAGTAAACATGGGACTGCATTGCTGTCTCCTGATCTAGCACCAATTCAAATGAACCTAATGTAACAAATAAGCTTTTGACTGTGGACTTGAGACTTCACACAATTAATAGTGTACTTGAATGCAAGTAACCGATTGCAGATTATGGTGGTAGCTCACTTAATTTATTGAGTCTTCCAATTACATACCTTTCTTATTGCCTGCTGAAAATACTGAGCTAATTCATTGTGTTGACGTGTTTACACACAGTTACTTTGTGATACATACATGCTATACCCAGTATAGCACCACGATACCGACTCTACTGACTGCAATAATGTAGTTCTGCCTGCCCATCATCTCAAACAGTTATTGACAGGATTATATGAAAATAAAAACAAAGGGGTATGATAAAAGGAGATGGCTGGACTGTCTGCCCTTGTTTTCAATATCTTTGGATGCGAAAACTACTTGAATGTGCGGTTATGGAGTTTTGAGTGTTGTTTGACTAATGGCTAGTTTCATAACAAGCAGGGATCTGATTCCAGATTTTTGTTGTACAATAACAATGTTTTGAAACTGGTGTATCTTAAAACTATGGCTGTTGAGCTCTGGGGCCTGTTGTCCTGAGAGTTCATTGTTGATAAATGCCCATTGACCTCAGAATTTGTTTTCTCATTCAGAGAAATTAAGGGGGTTAGATATTTGGATTTTTCTATGGGCGCATTGTACTTACTGGGCTTCTGGCAGCTGTTTATCCATGAATGCTGTGGAGATGCACTTCACATTCCATACTGCACAGCCCAAGAGGCTGAGAGCAGCAGGATCTTGGAGAAGACATTCAGGCTTTGTCTTTCAAAGCACTATCTCCAACTTTGTAGGATGTTCTTCAGATTTTTTTATAGCTCCATAAATATAATTGATTTGGTCACATTGTGCTGTATAAATGAATTACAATAATATGGTTCTGCCCATAATTAGAAATAATGGGAATAATAGAATCTTGTAGCACAGGAGAATCCATCCAATTTATCATAGTCCACGAAATTCTTTGGAAGAGCTACCCTATTAGACCTACATGTAATTGCAGTTTGTCCTTTTTTTTGAATATCAATGTGAATGTCTGATATTGTCTAGATTTATGGCCACCAATGATCTGATGGTGGAGCTGCAGAAAGACTCCATTAAGTTGGATGATGACAGTGAGAAGAAGGTGGTGAAAATGTTGCTCAGGCTGCTAGAAGATAAGAATGGAGAGGTGCAGAACCTGGCTGTGAAGTGGTAAGTAATAATTGCTGAGTCTGAGTGGCACATAGATCTCTTTTATGCTGGTGGTTCAGTTTTTACAGTCTGCTCCCTCTTTGCTACCGACCTTTCTGCAACTTGTTGGTCTGGGTGTATTTTCTCTGATATATCCTGACCTTCAGCTTACCCAGTGTTGGTGGGAGTTGGCATTCAATTCTTGACTGTATATCAGGGAATTAAGGCAAAGCTATTTTGAAAGTAAAGTTGTTTTCCCACTGATGTACCACCAGTGACAGTATGTTTTTCCATCTATGAATGTGAAGTGGGAAAACATCAAATAGTAATCTGCATGCTAACTTATTCCTACTTTTGAAAACTGTCTGCTTTCGCCTAAGTTGACATTGGTGCAGTGCAAGGTCAGGGCCTGCCTTGAAGGTAATCACTGGTGCAAAGGGATAGGAATAGGCCATTTCATCCCTTGAATCTGTTCTACTCTACTGTTCATAGAGAATATGATTGATCTATGATGTAATTCCATACCCAGCTTTTCCCCACATCCCTTAATTTTGGCTAACAAAAATCTTGTCAGTTTCAGTTTTAAAATTGACAATTGAGCTAACAGCAACTAATGTTTGTGGAAGAGTCCAAAACTTTTATAGTTCTTTGTGTAGCAGTGTTTCTTAATTTTACTTCTGCAACACATGTTTCTTACCTTTAGGTTTTAACCCCGGCTGTTGGAAATAATTTCTCTTTGTCTATCCTGTTGCCTTTAATTTCTTTAATATTTTCTCAATATAACCTCATAACCTTTATTTCAAGCAGTTTAAAGTCCTCATTTGTGCAATCTCTTCTAATAGTTTAACTCTCAGGAGTCCAGATTATCATTCTGGTAAATCAATGCAGCTCTCCCACCAAGGTCGTCTTGATTGGCATCTCATCCACCACCTTCAAACGTTCACTACTTCCATCAGGACGCAGTGGCAGCAGACTGCTTCATCTACAATTTGCAATGCAGTGACTCATCCTGTTTGCTAAATAGCATCTTCAAAATCCATGACCTCTACCACATTGCTTCTGACCACCCTTTTTTTTTTGCTGTACTGTAACTGTGTAACTCATGTTGCTTGTTCCTGCAAATTTCTTTTTGTATACTCTTTTCTTTGGATATCTCTTGCATCTTTCCCCCTTACCAGGAGCTGAAGTATATTTTTGCAATTTTTAAATTTTAAATTTTCTTTTGTTGTTTGCTTTGTCTCGTATCTCTTTATTTGTCTGTGGTTGCTTTTTTTTGGGCCAAACAGGACTTAAACCCTTTCTGGGTGCAAACTGGTTTTGTGCCACTTTGATATTTTTTAAATTGCCTCAGACTGATGTGTTGTTGCCCATATTAACGTACTTGTTCAGCTGACTGTACCTAAGTCAGTAACTTAAAATCAGCCATGCCTGAATCTAGTATCTCAGTGGCTGTTTCATGTTTCTACCTTTCAAACACTACATCGAACTTAATCATTTTATAACCATTGTTAAATCGATCTTCTCACACCATTTGACTGTTAACTAAATCTGGGTCTTCAACCGTTACTAAATCTATTATCACCTGCCCTTAGGTGATTCATATGTTTCAGAAATTCATCTGGCATGTGCTAGTCTGCTTATCTCAATCTATGTGAAAATTAATATGCCCCATTAAAACAACTGCCTTCACTAGATACTTGTCTGACCTCAGCATTTGAACAAGATACCACTTCACCTGAGAGGGGGAGTCTTTACCTGATGTGTTGTTTGGAGTTGATACAGGGGTGTTCTGCAGCTCACTGCAGTGATGCAAAATTGTTGGGGGAGAAGAAGCGCGATACAGCACGAGAAGTAGTAATGATGTTAAAATGCCAGGATCACAGCATTTTATTTGTTCACTTGTTCAGCTTGGGCCCATTGGTCAGCAAGGTGAAAGAGTACCAAGTGGAGACAATTGTGGATACGTTATGTACGAACATGCTGTCTGATAAAGAGCAGCTACGGGATATATCCAGCATTGGCCTGAAGACTGTCATTGCAGAGCTGCCTCCTGCTTCTAGTGGTAAGATTGTTGTTTGTACCTTCTCATCTCCATATGTCCTCTCGGTTTATACTCAACATCCCACCTCCTGCCAATGCTGATAGAATAGTGTATTTTCAATTTAATATCAAGTATGTAGATCTGTGCCAAAACATTTGATTAGTGCCACTAGTTTCTGAGGTGTGACCTATTTGGGGAAGTGGATATGTCTGGTGCAAGCAAGCTGTAGCTAAGTGTTTTGAGGATGAAGTTCTCTTAGTTTTCTATTTACTGTCTTCCTCTTGTAGTGATATTGCCTTTCTGTTGGGTCTGGCTTCACTGCTATCATTATCATCAGTACCACATTTGTGTGACCCTTTTTAGTAGGTGAACCTTGATGCAAGTGTCAGCAGCTTAGAGGCAATAAGGACTGCAGAGTCTAGAGTGTGAGGCTGGAAAAGCACAGCAGGTCAGACAGCATCAGAGGAGCAGGAAAGTTAATGTTTCAGCCTGAAATGTTGACTTTCAGTTCCAGAAGCCACGTGACTAGAGAAAACTGCATATTCTTAATAGGCTGTGCCAGCTTGTTCGTACATGCTTGAGGAAAAATATTCTGATCAAGAAACTGGTCTTCACCACAACTAATGGTGTGCCTGCTATTCTTGGCGCAAACGTAAGCTCTGTTGCATTTTTCAGAAATGAGCTTGATTTCCCTTACTTTTGTCCATTGCCACTGTATAGTCCACCAGCAAGCATTAGTGAATGAAGTTATAGATGTTTCCCACCTAATGAAAGTTGCTAAGATTGTAAACTCGATTTGAGCAAAGCTCTTCAGCACAGCTTGTTTAAAACCTTGCTCAACAAACTTAGAATCATAGTGGTCTTGTAGCATCATCACTGGAATATTAAGCCAGAAACTCAGCTAATGTTTTAGGTACCCAGATTTGATTCCTGCTACGCTAGATGGTGGAATTTGAATTCAATACAAATCTGGAATTAAGAGTCTAGTGAACAGCATGGAACAGTGTTAATTTTAGAAAAACTCATCTGCCTCACTAATGTCCTTCAGGGAAGGAAATCGCTGTCCTTACCTGGCCTGGCTTGCATGTGACTCCAGAGCCATGGCAACATGGTTGAATCAACTGCCCTCTGAAATTGCCCAGCCAGCCACTTACTTGTACCAATCGTGGCAAAGTCTCTACAAAGAAATGAAACCAGATGGATCACCTGATATCACCTAGCTACTGGAAAAGACAACAGCAGAAACAGCTCTGTCAACTATGCAAAGTCCTCCTTACCTTCATCTGGGGGCTTGTGCCAACATTGGGAGGGCTGTCTGACAGACTAGTCAACTAACAGCCTGACAGAGCCATACACACAGAGTCATACCTTAGAGACAATCTCCCAGACACAACCATCATCATCTCCGGATGTGTCCTCTCCCACCAGCGGAGGCATCGGCGCAGTGGTATATAGTTGGGAGGGAGTTGCCCTAGGAGCTCTCAACATTGTCTCTGGACTCCGTGAAGGATCAAGGCAATAATACTGCTGATTATCATGTACCATCCTCCCTCGGCTGATGAATCAGTCTTCTTCCGTGTTGAACAGCACATGGAGGTAGCACCGGGAGAGGCAAGGGTGCAAAATGTACTCTGGGTGGAGGATTTCAATGTCCACCACCAAGAGCTCTTGGTGCCTGGACAGCATTGCAGCAGCAGCACTACCGATCGAGCTGGTCAGGTCCTAAAGGACTTAGCTGCCAGACTGGGGCTGTGGTAGGTGGTGAGGGAAAAGCAACAAGAGAGAAAGACATACTTGACCTCCTCCTTACTTATCTGCCGGCTGCAGATACAGGTACTGGTCTTCAGCCAATTAAATTCACTCAACGTGATGTCAAGAAACAGTTGGGGGTACTGCATACTGCAAAGGCTATGGGCCCTGACAACATTGCAGCAATAGTGCTAGAAACTTGTGCTCCAAACTTGCCACTTCCCTAGCCAAGCTCTTCCAACACAGTAACAACACTGGCATCTACCCAACAACGTGTAAAATTGCCTACGTAGGTCCTGTGAACAAACAGCGCACAAATCCAACCCGGCCAGTTAGCACCCCATCAGTCTACTCTTGATCATCAGTAAAGTGATGGAAGATGTCATCAACAGCGCTATCAAGCAACATCTGCTCAGCAATAACCTGCTCAGTGACGCCCAGTTTGGGTTTCACCAGGGCCACTCAGCTCCTGACCTCATTACAGCCTTGGTTCAAACACGGACAAAAGAGCTGAATTCCAGAGGTGAGGTGAGAGTGACAGCCCTTGGCATCAAGGACACATACAACAGTGTGGCATTAAGGAGCCCTAGCAAACTGGAATTGCTGGATATCAGGGGGCAAACTCCCTCTAGTGGTTGGAGTCATATGGGAAGATGGTTATGGGTGTTGCAGGACAGTCATCTCAGCTCCAGCACATCCCTGTAGGAATTCCTCAGGGTAGTGTCCTAGGCCATCTTCAGCTGCTTCATCAATGACCTTCCCTCCACCTAATGTCAAGTGAGGATGTGCAGTCATTGGCAAACAATATTCAGCACCATTTGCCACTCATCAGATACTGAAGCAGTCCATGTTCAAATGTAACAAGATCTGGACAATATCCGGGCTTGGACTGACAAGTGGTAAGTAACGTGTGCCACACAAATGCCAACAACAGCCAATCTAACTACCATACTTTGACATTCAGTGGTGTTATTAAATCACCCACTGTCAGCATCCTTGGGTTACCATTGACCAGAAACTCAACTGGACTCTCAATATGAACAGTGACTACAAGAGAGGCCAGGAATACTGCAGCAAATAATTCCTCTCCTGACTCCTTAAAGCTTGTTCACCATCTACAAAGTACAAGTCTGGAGTGTGATGGAACACTCCCCACTTGCCTAGATGGGGGCACCTCCAACAACACTTCAGAAGCTTTAAACAAAGTAGCTCGCCTGAGTGGCACCAGGCTCATACGCTTCACTTGCTCCCTCCACAATGCTCAGTAGCAGGACTATGTACCATCTACAAGATGACCTGCTGAAGTTCACCAGGGCTTCTTAAGGCAGCACTTCCAAACCCATGACCACTTCGATATAGGAGGATGAGTGTAGCAGATGCATGGGAACACCACTGCCTGCAAGTTCCCCTCCAAACCACTCAACATCCTGACTTGAAAATATATTGCCGTTCTTTGACTGCCGCTGGGTCAAAATCCTGGATTGCCCTCCCTAATGGCATTGTGGGTCAACCTACAGCATGTGGACTGCATCAGTTCAAGAAGGCAGCTCATCACCACCATCGCATGGGCAGTAAATGCTGGCCAGCCAGCGATGCCCATGTCCCATGAGTGAATTTAAAAAAAGTCTGAAGTCTACGGCACAGAAGAAAAAAATCGTTCTGCCCAATGTTTCTGTGGCGGTCAGAAACAACCACCTAACTCTTCTAATTTCCTTTACCAGCACTTGACCCACAGTCTTGTACATCTTAGTTATGGACCAAGTTGATGCTGAATTAATTCTCCACGCTGATGTGAGGTGTTCAAGTTGAGGGAAGATCTTGCAAAGAGTTTTAGATATCATGTCTGAATGGCTTCAATCTTCTTTAAGAAATTTGATTAAGAAGTGAACTCTCGGACAGCATGTGATTGCTTGACTTCAGGCTCCTTACAAATGTGACATTGAAACTGAGCAGGGAGAGGACAGAGACTTGGCACATATGATCAGTGCTGTGCATGCATTCAAATTGAAACTGGGTCTGTGGTCCTCCCAATTGAGAGTAAAACATTGTAACACTTCTGGAGGAAATATTAGAAGAAAAAGTCAAAAACAGAAAATTTATTAAACCCAAAAAACTTCTGTGCTCACCTAAGGAAGTTGGCAGAGGAATTCAACTGATGATTTCAGGAAAAAACAAATCATCGTCTCCAGTCCATTCCATCATGTGATTCCATTACACAGCAATGGAGTGACATGAAGGTAATTACTATGCAAAGCTGTGTTGAGCCAAAAGCAAGATCAAAGAACAGTGAATACTGGGGACTCAAACAGATAAATACCTCCTTTTATCATCCTGTGCTTTTAAAGCGAATGTTTACTTTGGATCCACATATCTCTCTGAAATGCATTTTCCAAAATAAAGATGATCAAGTCCAAGATCACACCTGCCTCTCAGAAATCCATTGCATGGATTCTGTATGACTAGCATCTCAAACTATAACCCAAGCTTCAAGGCACTGGTAGTTTATATGCAGTTGCAAGTAACGCACTGAGACTTGGTGAATAACTTGTAAATCTAACACAAAGTATTTATATAACACTAACAATAAATTGTTTATTCTATATTTTCTTAGGGATAAATCTTGCATTCAAAAAGTGATCTTGTGCTTAACAGGGTTGGAGACCCATCAGGCTTTTGCCAAGTGATACGGCTAATATTTTAGGATGACTATTGCGCAGACAAAGGGTTACTGTCCATTGCTGGTAGAGGCTTTGTAGAGGCCTAAATATGCTAAAAGTCCTCAGAACATTTGAATAAGGTTGACTAAAGATTTAGGATAACTGTGGCTTGCAGAGTTCAGGATCACTGGATGGGAATCCCATTTTTTTTTTTTTTTTTTTTTTTGCTGACATTATGAGAAGTGGGAATTTTGAGCGTAAAAATCATAAGTGATTAAAAATAAACCCTTCTCTGGAACTTGTTGATTAGGGAAAACGAAACTTAAAATTTACTAATGATCTCATTACTGTCAAAATAAATACTCCAAATAATATCTGTAGTCGTAATAAGCATTTGATTCTGTCCCAGGCTTGGCCCTGTCTGCTAACGTGTGCAAGAAGATTACTGGACGTCTGACAAGTGCTATCGCTAAGCAAGAGGATGTTTCTGTCCAGCTGGAGGCCCTGGACATATTGTCTGATATGCTGAGCAGGTAAACTACAGGGTATGAACAATTCCAAGTCTCCTCAACAGTGAAGGAGAATCTACTGTGCTATAGTGGTATGCAGACATAATGTTATGTGGAAAAATAGTGTCCGTGCTGCTACATTGGCACTATTGTTCTAAGTAATATATTCTAGCATGTAGCACAAGAGTAGTAATATTCGAAGTAATTTATTCTGTGGTACAAACAGTGATAGTATTATTTTGAGATTCTAGGGTTAAATTCTCCATTTGTCGATATTAGACAGCTTCACATTATAAAGCATCAACCATATCCATTTTGATGGCAGCAGAGAGGAGCAGTGTTGGTGAACTTCAAATAACAGATGTAAAGGAGGAACCACTTGGGGTGAGATGAGTTGCGACCAAAGCTTGAGATTTGATACCGTCAGATGCAGCTGTTATGCCTGGGATTTAGAGGTTCACGGCAGTGGGTGGGGAGTGGAGTAGGAATGGTCGGCTGAGTCTTGACATCATCTATTGCTTTTCATCCTCACCTGAGAAACAATGCAAGATCAGCAACAAGACAGAGGGTGGATGGTATCCTTTGATTCAAAAACCTCGCAGTCAGTACCTGAAAAAAAAATCAGTATTCATTTCTGCAAAGTGCCTCACAGAGCCATAATTATGTTTTTGTGCCATAGTCAGCCACATTTAAGCTGTTTCCAGTCATATTTCTGATAGCAGGAAAAGACAGCTTTTATTTGCACGGAAAAGCGTCCCAAATATTTCACAAAAGTGATCAACCAAAAAGAATCGGCAGTGAGCCAAAGGAGGAGGCACTAGAGCAAGTGGCCAAAAGTTTTGTCAAAGTGATAAGTTTTAAGATACATCTCCGAGGAGGTGGAGAAACAGAGCTTTGATGTGAAGGTGAAGAGAAAGTTTGGAGTTTAGGAGGGTTTGGGCTGAGTCAGGAGTGAAAATGAGCAATTTAATCAAGGTGGAAGTAGGCAGTCTTGGGGATGAGCATCTGAAGTTGCATGCTCAGGTCGGTCAAATAGGATGCCAAAATTGCAAACAATCTGGTTAATCCTTGGATCATGGTCAAGGTGGCAACAAAATTTGTTGAGGCCCAATGCAATGACTTTTTGGTTTTTTTGCATGTTTAGTTGGTGGAAATATCTGCTTTTCTGATGCTGAATGTTAATTAAATGTTACAACGTGAATTATCCCATTTCTCTGCATTTCTGACATTCGAACAGACCCTTTCAGGGACACAACTGAAAGTATGACACCAGCCTGTGCGTGCATGATTTATATTTTTAATCAGCCTATTCAGACGTGTCACGACTCGCACCTTTTGGAGCAGGTGGGATTTGAACTCTGTCTCTGGGCTCAAAGCGAGGGACACTGCCAGTAAGCCATAAGAGTCCCCAGTGCATGCTCCTGTACTGTTTGTGAAGTAGGTTATAACAGCTGGTCTCCACACAGGTATCAACCATAACAGGAGATCACAAGGACACTGCTCTGGGGCCCACTGGCCCACTTTGAGTCTGCAGGAGAGCATATCCTGCAATCTACTTAATAGCAAATGCCTCATTGGTATTATATTCACATCCTCTGGTGGGGACATGGTGGATGTTGCTGAAATTTGTACAGATTTCTTGCTCTGCCTATAACTGCAAAGACTGTGTCTGAGGACTCCATGATTCATCAAACAGGCCTGATGATCTCTAAGACATCCTTTCAGAAGATTTTGATGTTACAGCAGGGGCAGTGTTTGTGTACGAGCTTGGCCATTTGACCCTAGTTCTGCCTAGAAAAGGTAGAATTTTGGTATGTTTCTGCTGAGTGAAGTCTGTGTAGTGAAGGATTCTGAGGTCACCCTCTCATTTTGCTGCAGGTGATTGTCATGTGGGTCAGTAGTAGAGCTTCCTTCTAATCTTCCCCTGAGAGTCAGTGACCTGGTCACACTCCCAGGAGAGATGCAAGTTTTCCATATTGGCTGGTGCTAGAGAAAATGGCATTGATTGGAGAAAAATGATGGTAACTGCAGGGCAGCTCTTATTTATTTTCAGAAATTGAGCCTCTCTAGCAAGTTTACTCTGAGAAGTTAGTGACGGCATCTCCTAATGACACTAAGTTTTACCATCTGATTGGCTCGTTGCGCCTCTTTTAGCACATCAATAGGCAAATCACTCAGTCTGTGGGAATTTGTCGAACAGATCAGGTAGGAGTTTCATGTTCCCTTCCCAGAAGGACGTTGTTGAACCATTTGGGTTTTTAACAGTTGGCATCAGCTAAGCTCAGTGTGGGTGTCTGTCTCTGAATATCTCCTTAGTTTTAACAGATTAAAAGTCACACTAGGTGAAAAGCAAAGGCATGACTGGCTGATTGAGTGGGGATGCACAAGTCCCATTCCCTTTATTCCTCTCCCAGTTAGCCTACTATGTTTTACACTTGTAGCTCTTGCCTACATCTTGCCAAACACGCACCTGTAGCTGATTTCCCTCCAAAGTTTGTTGCCTGCTCCTGCCACTATTCTTCTGCATATATCAGGACTTCCGAAAGTTGATGTTGGAACTCGTGTGCTTGTGAACTGAAATTTTGGGGTTACAAGCTGAGGCAGTAATAGCCACTCTGGTGTTCTGAACAAGTTAGAACATCTGTGCAGCTCTTCTGTGGGCTTAGTTCTCACTGAGGGGTTGACAATTTTGATGCCTCAAAGTCTGGTCAGACAAGTAGAACATTTGGGAAGCACTGCACTATATTATGTGAGAATACCAAAAGGAAGACTTCATTTGCAGAGCTCCTTTTCAGAGCTTGAGAACATCTCAATGTGCTTGGCAGTCAATAAGCCAGAAGGCTTTGCATAAAGTCCCACATTAAAAAGAGTTAGCTATGGTAGAAACCCATGGGATTGAGGGCAAAAAATTGACCTGGATAGGAAATTGAGTGAGTGGCAGGAAATAGTTGGGATAACGTGTAAGCACTCAGATTGGCAGGACATGACTAGTGGTGTCCCACAGGGATCTGTGTTGGGGTGTCAGCTATTCACAATATTCATTAACAACTTGGGTAATGGAATAAGAAGTCAAATATTTATATTTGCTGCCAACACAAATTTGGGAAGCATTCTAGACAGTGTTGATGGCAGCATAACAACATTACAATAGGATATTGAGAGATTAGGTGAATGGGCAAAGCTGTAGCAGATGAATTTTGATATAAGCAAGAGAGGTTATCCATGTTGGACCACAAAAGGATCCATCCAGATTTTTGTTTGTTAGAGGGCTCAAAGTTAAATACAGTAGATGCCCAATGAGGATTTGCAGGTTCGGGTCTTTAAAATGCCACAAACAGGTACAGAAAATAGTCAAGAAATTTAATGGAATGCTAGCCTTCATATCTAAAGGGCTGGAGCATTGGGATGTAGACATTAAGCTGCAGTTGTACAAAACCCTTGTTAGACCCCATGTAGAGTACTGTGAGCAGATATGGCACTACACCTTAGGAAGGATGTTCAGCCCTTGAGGGAGTTCAACACAGGTTTATAAGAATGATGCCTGAATTTCAGGTATAAAGTTATGTAGAGGGATTAGACAAATTAGGTCTGTTTTCTGTAGAATTTAGAAGGCTAAGGAGTGATCTGATCGAGATCTTTAGGATATTAACAGGGAATGACAGCTTAGATAAACTATTCTAACCATGGGGCATAGTCTGAGAATTGGGGTCAGACATTCAAGAGAGATGCTAGAAAGCAGTTCCACACACAGGAGTGGATATTATGAACTCTTCTCAAACAGTGGTCGATGCTATTCAATTTAAATCTGGGAGAATTTTTTGTTAAGCAAGGGTATCAAGGGAAATGAGTCAAAAGTAGGCATGTGGAATTAGGCCACACGTCAGCAGTGATCTTATTGAATAGAGGAGCAGGCTTGAGGGGCTGAATGGTCTACTCCTGTTCTTATGTTGCATTCACGCGTAATACTGAAAATCTGCTGGCCAATTTGCACATAGCAAAGGTATACAAATGTGAAGGAGACTAGTGATTGTTTCGGCGATAGTTGAGAGTACGTATTGATTCGGATAGAAGCAGTGTCTTTTTTTCTGCACAGTATGTTTCACTGCACTGGGGTGAACTTTTCTGTTTGTCAGAATAGTGCCATGGTGCCCCTTACGTTCAGAATGAAAGCAGACCGGGTCTTGGCATAATATCTCTTCCAAAAGATGGTAGCTTTGATCATGCCTCACTCCTCAGTACTTCACTGGAATGACAGGCTATGCAGTATGCTTAAGTTTCTGGAGTGGGGCTGAAACCACAATGTCTGACTGAGGTGACTGGTAACAGCTGACTATACAGCTTGTTGTCTTTGAAATGTTATGGAGGTAGGGTGAACCAAGCATACACATACGCAGAAAGAAGTATATTAAAACTCCAGATATTGAATTAACTTTCCATCAAAACTATGGAGGGGAGGCTAAGTGGAAGAAAGTAAATATTGAACGGGGAAGGGCTGGTGAAAGTTGGACAAGTTGTTATTTTAAATGCGTTGCCTGAAAGGATGCTTCAAGCTGATTTAAACGCTTTCTTTTTCCAAAGCAAATTGGGTCTATATTGGAAAGGGGGATGAAATTGCAGTGCTGTGGTGAAAGTGTAGGAGAGTGGGACTAATCAGCTAACTGTTTCAATAAGTTGGCACAGGTGCACAGGCCAAGTGGCTTTATGGGGGTGAACATATAGAAATATAAACCGGTTCAGAAAACTCTAGAATGGTTACCTATTCAAGATGATACTGACCTTGCATCACTAGGATCTGGCAGGGCTGATATTGATGGACAATTTCTTTCTGCCAATTTAAAGCAGTTTGGCACACAGTACGACTGGCGTCCTGAAGGTGTTCCTAAGCTGGTAGGTGAGGAAGATGGAAATGTCAAATTTTGGATTCATACTTCCTGTAGGTATAGCAGAGGGAACTTATTTAAACAGATATGCTGACTGAGGTGGTTATCCTGATAACTCTGGTGATTCTGCATTCTGAATGTCTCATGTTTCCCATTGTAGGTTGGGTGGGACTCTGATCACATTTCACTCCTCGATCCTGACTTGCCTGCTGCCTCAGCTGTCCAGTCCAAGGCTGGCTGTTCGCAAGAGAGCCATTATTGCTCTGGGGCATCTGGTCATGAGCTGCAGCACGTGTCTCTTCTCTGAACTAATGGATCACCTACTAGTCGAACTGTCAAAGAATGAATCTACGTCTATGACCAGAACATACATCCAATGCGCCGGTGCCATCAGCCGACAGGCAGGGCACAGAGTTGGTGAGCAACTGGCTTTAAATCTTTTGTCCGTTATTTCAGCAAGTTGAAGAACCTGATTAGCCTTTTCCCTGTTGTTTGACACTTCTGGATGAAAATAAAATAGTGGTTGCATTCCTGCCAGCAAAGGTGATTTGATACTGTAAATGTGGGGTGGTGTGGGAATATGGCTTTGAGGTAGATGATATGAACCATGATCGAAAATGGCAGAGAGGAATCGAGGGGCTGAATGGCCTATTCCTGCTCCTATGTTGCTATATTTCCTAAGTGCCACCCAAATGGACAGAATGATATGTCATGGATTGACTTAACCGAAAGTTTGCTAGAATAGTGGAGAGCAAGCTTTACACTTGCTGACAGGCATTGTTCCTAAAATAGAATACTGCAGATGCTGTAAATCTGAAATAAAACTATAAAATGGTGGATGTACCCAGGAAATTAAGTGACGTCTGTGGAGAGAGAAGCAGAGTTGATGACTCAGGTTGGTGACTTGCTGTATGGAATGAAGCATTAATTCTGTTCCTCACTGCACAAATGCTGCCTGACAGGGCTATCTTCTGCGTATTTTGTTTATATTTTATGTGCTTCTGTTGAGGCAGTTTGATGGGGGGGGAAAAAAGAATAGGAGGAGGTTTATTGTGCATCAAACCTGCCTTATCTGACCTGGAGCTGTTTGAAACAGTGTAGAGATGATTTTTCTGTTGTACTGCCCCTGAGAGTAACTGTTGGGACAATTTCAAGAGAGCCCTACTCTGCTTCTAACTCCTTGCTGCCTCTAAGAATGTAAGAACATGAGTAAACCATTCCATCATTCCGTTAGACCGTGGCTGATCTGTATCTTGATTCTATCCACCTGTAATTTGGTTGCCTGACAAAAATGTGTACATCTTGATTTTTAAAATTTTTAATTGACTTTAACAGCATTTTCAGAAAATTTCATATGTGGCTGTTGCTGGCTGGCCTAGCATTTACTGCCAATCCCTAGTTTCCCTTAAAACTGATGGTGAGCTGCCTTCTTGAACCACTGCAGTCTGTTAGGTTAGGTACACCCACAGTGCCATTAGGAAAGGAGTTCCAGGATTTTGACCTGGGCTGCCTGCATTGGCAGGGAAGTTGGATAGATGTGGCCTGGAGTGATGAGGACAAGAGTGTAGGATGTAGCTTGGGGTGGAGTGGAACAGGGCATTCATGCTGAATTAAAGGGATAAGCTCCTGAACCATCTCCTTGCGTGCAAGGAGCTGTCCTAAATAAAGTGGTCTAACTGTTGAGTGAAATGCTGGACCTATTAACCCAACTTTCCACTCTGACAAGTCGCTGTGACACTATTACTGTGGGCTTCCCATGGAGCTCCATTGATGTAAACAGCAACTCCTGCATTTGATGCAAGCTGGTGATTGGAAAATTGTAGGGTTTTTTAATTCATTTATGGGATGTGGGCATCACTGGCTGGCCAGCATTTATTGCCCGTCCCTAGTTGCCCTTGAAAAGATGGTGGCGAGCTGCCTTCTTGAACTGCTGCAGCCCACCAGCTGTGGGTTGACCCACAATGCCATTAGGGAGAGAATTTCAGGATATTGACCCAGTGACAGTGAAGGAACGATGATATATTTCCAAGTCAGGATGGTGAGTGGCTTGGTTCTGTCATGGCCGTCGATGGTCGCAAACGTCTCCATATTTACTGCTGTTGGAACCACATGATCCAGGCCAATAGATCTGTTGAGTAATGAGAGAGTTGTGAATCAAAATTCTTTTGATTATGGATAGGAATAGTCATGATGTTTGATGTAGCCCCCAAGGATGACTTGTGTGGAAATAGCAGGCATGATGGGCTGGAAAGTTTTTTTTTTTTTTTTTTTTTTTTCTCCTCTCTCTCTCATTCCAGGTTGACCTCTACTGACCTCTAACAGAAAGTCCTGTGTTGTCTTTCAGGAGAACATTTAGAGAAGATTATTCCACTTGTTGTAAAATACTGCAATGTGGATGATGATGAGCTGCGGGAGTACTGCTTCCAGGCGTTCGAATCCTTTGTGAGAAGGTATGCTACTATGTGTTAATTACTAGGCTTCCATTCCCTCCCTTCTCCTTTCTGTAATCCCTCTGGATTAATGTATTTCGTTCTGCCAAATGTTCTTAAATCAGTGTTCTGTAATTGAGCACCTTGAAGCAATCCTGAATTTGGTTTCTAAGTTCTCACTTGCTTCCTTCTGCTCCTTTCCTCCTTCTGTACCAAACCCTACTGGATGAGGGGAGGGGGATTATGTGCTACCAGTCTGACTGGGACCTGTACTGGCATAGGATCTCAGAATGGATGCAAGCAGTTGATCACCACTGAAACATTGTTTTACGAATTTAAGATTGGGTGCTTCACACTTTAGCATGTTAGTGCAACATTGCAGTTGTTCTGAGATAGTTCAGTGTTCATTTATTTGTTTGTCTGTGTGCAACCCCAGTCTTTGCTGCCAAGGATAATGTTGAATCATCGAATCCCTACAGGGCTGAAGCAGGCCATTCAGCCCATTGAGTCCACACCGACCCTGGGAAAAGCAGCTTACCCAGACCCCTGTCCCTGTAACCCTGCACTTGCCATGGCTAATTCACCCAACCTGCACATCTTTGGACTGTGGGAGAAAACTGGAGCACCCGGAGGAAAACCCACTCAGACACGGAGAATGTGCAAACTCTCCATACACAGTTGCCTGAGGGTAAAATAGAACCCAGTTTCCTGGTGCTGTGAGGCAGCTGTGCTAACCATTGAGCCACCATACTGCCCATGATGACAATTCTATGAACATTTATTGGCAAAATTCTACATTTCATTTTACTGCTTTGTTTCCTCTCTGATACTTGTAGGAACTTGTATTATACCACTCAGTCCCCTGAACTTGTTCCATCATGATCCCATTCCACACTGCTGCTCATCTCCATTTGGCAAGGTTCCACTCTCATGACATCTTGGATCGTGCAGTGAATAAGAAGTATAATTCACCTGCCACTCCACTTCTTTTCCCTCCCCATCCAAAAAAAATTTAAAAGCATAGACAGAAGAAACAATCTCAATTTATTTGCTAGTGGGGAAATTGACAAGGAAATCTATTACATGAGAGGTGGGCAGTGGGAATGAAGAAATGTGTTTGGGTAGCTCTCTGTATATTTAAGTAGATTTCTCTGGGATGGCAGTACTGTGGGCTATTATCTGCACAGCTTCAGTGGCTTTTCATATATTTTTGAAGAGTGCCTTGCAGCTTGTGGTTTGCGACATTGCCAGGCCCAGTGGGTGCATGCAAATCTGTGTACGTCAAAAATTATCTCATTTCCAGAGATCCTGTGCTTTCCCTATATGTTGTCCCAGGAAATTCAATTATCCTGTATGTTCTATGTAAATCTTCATCCATTCAACACTTAATGAAGCTTGGAATTCCCATCACTGCCTGTTTACAGCTGTGAGAAGACACGGTGCTCATTGTTATACATTTTCTTGCTTTGAGGATGACGTTTCAGACCAGGTACAATTCACAAATTTGCTGACGTCCGATTTGGAAAAATTGAGTCTTTCTTTGTTAGAACGGTACTGATTAAGGGCAAGTTATTTGAATTGTTTAAAATCTTGTAAAGATAGCAATAGAAGCAAACAGTTTTTATTTCAGGTAATTTGAAGTGGCATGGCCAGTTAGTCATAGTACATTAAATGCAAGAAATACATAAAGCAGGTAAAATTTCTCCAAACAGTAATTTTGACTTTGGGTAGTAGCATAAAACAGATGATACCAGTTCCATATTTTGCATTCTCTTGATTTCCAGTTTCAGCCTAAGAGAGTTGATGCACAGTGGAAGGTGTGTGAAAGAGGCAACATTTTCAAGAGGTCCCTATGTCACGCTTGTTTGGATAGATGATCGAAGGGTTATGGGAACAAGGTGCATAACTATGATTAGTTCTGCACGTTCCAATGGGAGGTTAAAACGCTGACATCTATTGGATCGGTCAACTGGCATTTTTCTGTGTTTTCTGTGAATTCTCAACTGAGGAATTACTGACATGACATTAAATTTTGAACATACAAGCAAAAACCTATGGATGTTTGTGATCTGAAAAAAAGGAGTGCTGGAAAATCTCAGTAGGTCAGGCAGCGTTTGTGGAGAGAGAAGCAATTTACCCTTAGAGTCTGATGTTTCTCCTCTTGGTAACTAGATTTTACAAATTTTGAACATTCATGATTTGCGTAAATCACCTTGTGAGATGTCTTCACTTTAATGAGCTGTTTGGTGTCGGAGCTTGTGTTCTTCTGTTTTTGGCTTGAGCATCAATTCAATTTTGTTCCATTTTTTTTGCCTTCACATTGGGCAGTCAAAAATTGCTGTCATCAATTCTGAACTCCTGACTTTCAACTCTGGTGGATTCTGATTTGGGATGCATTGGGCTTAGTACGATAAACCATCCTAGTGTCAATAGTAAACACTAGTTTGATAACCTGAGAGCATGATTAAATCTAATGCAGTGGTACACTAGTCTTATGCTTTGTACTCGACGAAAAGTAGTTTTAAAAAGTTTTTGTGTTCATTGTTAAGGTGTCCAAAGGAAATGTCCCTTCACATACCTGCTATGATTGGTCTGTGCCTCAAATATATCACATATGATCCAAATTACAACTATGACCAAGATGAGGATGATGAAGACGCCATGGAAACAGACAAAACTGATGAAGAGGAGGATCAAGGTCAGTGCTTTGATCTGTTGGGCGCAATCTTTATGACTTGCAGAGGGAAGTATAAGTACAGAAGATGACTGGAAATATGCTGCTAATGAAGGAGAAGAGAAAGGTGAAAAGGTCTGCACTAGCTGCAGAAATTAATATTAGTTTCTCCGATGATTAACTGACTGACTAGGTTTATAGAGCGAATAGCTAGAAAGGAAGGCAATAGACTTGACACCTAATCTAAACCAAATTGGCTAATCTGGTTATGATTGATCAAAGTGTTCCTGTCTGAGGGGAGAAAAATAAATAATCCTAGCAGCAAACCAGCTTGAACTACACCTGTGTATAAGGGTCATGGACAGGATTGGGATTTGCTGTGATGTGTCTGATTTTTCCCTAGCTGGTATGAGCAAACGACACTTTGAGATATCCAGAATTAATTGAGCCAATGATATTAGACCTCAGGAAGGAATCAGTGCCTTTTGGGGAACAGTAGTGCATCCTTAAATTCTGCAGACATGGGCCTCCAAATTATGAGACTATTACTATGACCACTATACCACTCACCTAACATTAGTTAATAATGGATTCTAGTGTATAACCAATAACAGGTGTTAGACTAAGTGGCCTGTGGTTTCATACTTTCTTTTGCTACCCTCTGCCTCTTTCTTAAACAGAGGGGATACATTTGCAGTTAACCATACATCCCCTATCTGTGCCAGTAATTATGGATGTGTGGCATAGCAGGATGCTGTAGGAAGGGGCGTGATGGCTTTGTAGGCCATGGGCCTCATTGTATATCTTATGCTCATCCCAGACAGTGAAGAGGAGTACACCGATGATGACGACATGAGCTGGAAAGTTCGCCGAGCTTCTACTAAGTGTTTGGATGCCATTGTGAGCACCAGGCATGAGATGCTGCAGGAATTTTACAAGACAATCTCGCCAGCCCTCATCAGTCGATTCAAGGAGCGAGAGGAGAATGTGAAGGCTGACATTTTCCACGCGTATGTCTCTCTTCTGAAGCAGACCAAACCAGTCCAGAGTTGGTTGCAGACTACAGATGCCCTGGGACAAGGGGACATGCCCCTAATGATGCTTCAGCATCAAGTGAGTATTTTCAATTGGTTGGTATTATTTTCACCAGTTTCCCCTCGCTTCACTAGTTAGGTTTTCCATTCATGAAACATCCATGCAGGGGCTATGTGAGAATAATACCGGTATCTTATTCTTTCATTCCAACTTTGGAGTCAGAGACCATGCAAAGTGGTCTGTCCCTTGCTAAGATCAAACTCAGCAGAGACTAGTTGGTCCTAAATAGTCACCAAAATGGTAATGAGTGTCTAGCAGTGATTGGCATTTGTGGTAATAACAGGTAATCCATATGTCATAGACTTGGTGAAAACGTTGGTAATAAGTTAAATTTGGTAATGGAGGCAGAAATGTTTATAAAATAGTTAGCACACACATGGAACAGATCTGGCTGAGCAGTTGGTTAGCATCTATGTAATGGGAATGAGTATTGGCAGTCTAGCAATAACATTCATATACTGTACTAATGGATTAAGAATGAGTAACGCGTAAGGTTATAGTAGGCTGGAATTATTTGTATATCTTCTGGGGCGTTGTGAGGGTGTTACACAGGGAGTAAGTTACATTTAGAGAATTCAGAAATAAATAGAACAAATTTTTGGAAGCTTCCAGAATTGCAATAAATATAACTTGCATTACTCGTGCAGCAAAACTGCTTGAAAAGTTTGTGTATCTGTATTGTTATAGTCATGTGCCATCTTTAATTTACCTTGGAGTGATGTATGATTACATAGTGAGAACAGTATGAATAGACGTCCTCACTCCTACTTCATTAAAACGTGAAGTTTCTGAAACGTTTTGGCTCTTACATGTGTGTAACCCCTCTCCCTTTTCATCTCTTTTCTCCTTGCATGCCCCTTTTTCATGCAGGTACCTAGTATAGTGAAAGCTCTGCATAAGCAGCTTAAGGAGAAGAGTATGAAGACTCGACAAGGCTGTTTCAATCTCCTCACTGAATTGGCCAGTGTCCTACCTGGAGGCTTGTCAGAACACATACCAGCCTTAGTACCAGGTATGCACAAGGAGTGCAGTTAGTTGTGGTGGTAGAATATAGTTAACACCTTGGGCCTAAAATAGGATTGAATGCATGTTGCTATCTGAGCAGGCAAAGCAAATCACCCAGGCCATCGTTATGTGGTTGGCAGCAAATTTATACTCAGTCGTAACCTTTTGCCTATGGATTATGTTGGCTATTATTAAAAGATTCACAACATCCTCTTCTAACTCATTGCTAACTTGACAAATCAAGGATTAAACAAGAAATGAAGCACAGAATGAAAAACTTCATTCTGATCATCCAATACACTCCTTACACTGGTACTGTCAAACCAGTACTTTGTAGACTTGAGTCAATCCATTTAATATCCTGAGGGGAGTGTTATACAAATGCTGTAAGAGTCACAAAAGAACAGTGAAGAATACGTCCTCACATAGAAATCCTCCACAGACACCATATACAGCATATAGGTCCAGTAACACTGGAGCTGTTGTCATATTTAATTATTTTAATTTGTAACTAATCCATATAACTGTTGTATATATTCACTTGGAAATAGTTTTCAGTTTGTTTTTGGAAAAAGCTAATTTTCTGTGAGTCTGTTGCAAAAAGTTGGAAAAAAATGCCTCTGTCATGAATGACTGAATACATGTAGTGTGAACCTGAGCAATGCACAGCAGTAAAACCCTGTTGTTGTCTGTGTTGAGTTAACAGCTCTCATTTGGGGAAATAGTGGAGATGCTGTCATTAGCTTAGATGTATCTCAGTCAGGAAAGGAGGCTAAAATAAACCACAAACCTTCCCGCTGGGAAGTTCAAACTTATTTTTCCAAAGGTGGAAAAGAGAATGAGACAGGATTAAGGATATGTCAAACTGGGGAGACAAACACAGGTAATGTCTTTGGGCTAGAAGACCAGAGGTTCAGGCTGAATGTTCAAATCCTACAAGAGCTGGTTGGAATTTGAAATCCCTTGACAATTTTGGAATTTTTAAAAAAATTAGTCTCCATAATGGTGACCACAAAGCTGTCTTCAGTGCTGTAAAAATCCAGCTTGTTCACTGATGTCCTTTCTCAAGCTACATGGTTCACGGGGCACTTGGGGATAGACAACAAATGCCGACATTACCTGTGATGATAACCTACCATGAAAGCATAATAAAATTAGTTAGGCTCAATTTGGATCAGAGACTAAGGAAAGTTTTTAATTCTTGAAGGCAAGTGTTGGGGTAAGAGGTGTAACTTAAATTCAGTGCAGTGTAAGTAGAGCTAGCAGGAACATTGGAAGTTGAGATATAATATCAACAACCCATGTGACCTTTTCAGTCTATTCAGCTTCTCATTCAGATAATGGCTGATCTATATCTTAACGCCATCCCATCACTTTGCTTCTATAACCTTTGATAACTTTCCTTAACAATCCATCAGTTTCTATTTTCTAATTTTCAGTTGACAGATTTTGGAAAAGAGTTCCATGTTTCTTTGATGAAAAGTGTCCTGAAAGGCCTGCCTGTGGTGTTAGAGTCATGTCACCTTGTTTCTGATTCCCCTATTAAAGAAATTTGAAGTGAAGAACAGTTGTTCAGAGGAACAATAACTGTGGCAGTACCGATTTAAATTGTCAAAGATGACACTATAATTGGGTGATATAAGGCTAGAAGTGAGAGATCTCTTTCTTCTACTGTGCTTAGTCTGTGCATGTGAGACTGAAATTTCATAGATTTGGGTTTTATTGGGGGTAGGACTTGTGGAGCTTGCTTAGAAGTAGTTGAATGTTCCGTTACAATAAATTTTTTTTTTTTCATTTTACAGGCATTATTTACTCTCTCACTGATAAATCGAGTACCTCAAACATGAAGATTGATGCACTGACCTTTTTCCATGTCATCCTTTGCAATCATCCACCAGAAGTGTTCCACCCTCACATCAAGACATTGTTGCCACCGACAATAGCCTGTATTAGTGATCCATTCTACAAAATCACTTCTGAGGCCTTGCTTGTGACTCAGCAGCTTGTAGAGGTAATCCGTCCACTGGACAAGCCTTGTTCATTTGATGCCAAGCCTTATGTGAAGGATCTGTTTAGTAGCACTTTAAAGAGATTGAAGGCATCTGACATTGACCAAGAGGTGAAGGAGAGAGCGATAGCCTGCATGGGACAGATCATCTGTAATCTTGGAGACAACCTAGGTGCTGACCTGAATCCCACATTGCAGATTTTCCTTGAACGACTGAAAAATGAGATCACCAGACTGACCACAGTCAAAACCTTAACTCTGATTGCAAGTTCTCCTTTAAAAATTGACCTACGTCCGATTCTTGGTGAGGGTGTTCCCATCCTGGCTTCCTTTCTTAGGAAGAACCAGCGTGCACTGAAACTCAGTACCCTAGCGGCACTGGACATCCTGATTAAGAATTACGGTGACAGTCTTAAGCCAGTGATGATTGAGTCAGTTTTAAAGGAGCTTCCATCCTTGATTGGGGAGAGTGACATGCATGTCTCCCAGATGGCCATTACCTTCCTAACATCATTGGCCAAAGTCTATCCATCGTCTGTGGCCAAGATTGGTGGGTCCATATTGATGGAATTGTTCAACCTAGTTCGTTCACCGCTGCTCCAAGGAGGGGCTCTGAATGCCATTTTAGACTTCTTCCAGGCTTTGGTGGTATCCAAGGCTCCCAACATGGGCTACATGGAGCTTCTGAAGCAGCTGACAGGAACTATCTATTCTTCAGCCCAGTCGGGTGGTGGTGTAGTTTTGCACAAACAGGCCTATTATTCTGTGGCTAAATGTGTAGCCGCACTTACCTCGGCATGTCCAAAGGATGCCAATACCGTGGTGAACCAATTTGTCCAAGATGTGAAGAGTCCCAAATCGCCTGACTCAGTCCGCTTGCTGGCTCTACTTTCTTTGGGTGAGATCGGCCGCACCATGAATCTGAGCGCACAGAAAGAACTCAAGCTGGTGATCCTTGAAGCGTTTTCGTCACCTAGCGAGGAAGTCAAGTCAGCGGCCTCCTATGCGTTAGGAAACATCAGTGTGGGAAACCTCAGTGAATATCTTCCCTTCATTCTGAAGGAGATCAGCAGCCAACCCAAGCGCCAGTACTTGTTGTTGCACTCATTGAAAGAAGTCATCAGCTCTTCACCGGCAGACAGCTTGAAATCTCACGTCCAGGACATTTGGGCCTTGTTGTTCAAAAACTGCGAGTGCGCTGAAGAGGGGACTCGGAACGTGGTGGCGGAATGTTTGGGAAAATTGACCCTCATCGACCCCGGCCGCCTGCTGCCCAAGCTGAAAAAGCAGCTCACATCAGGTAAATATGGAAACAAGCTTATAGTGCATCAGGTTAAATCCACTGACGTCAGAATGGACTTTTTCAAAGAAAAATTGCATTTATGTAACATTTTTCCTGCTCTCCAGACAGTGTGCACAATTTTACAGTCAACTTCTGAAATACTGTAATTTGTAAACTGATGAAACGTGCACAGCAAGATGTCACAAACAACATGACATTGAGCCAAGTTTTTATTCCTTTTAATACTTGTGTATGACAGTCAATGGTTCAGCAGAGGGGCTACAGGAATCAAATCAGTGTAATAGACTGACTGAATTGCTCTATGTGCTTTGGTTGTAGACATGACGAACAAAAGCCTCTTTCTGAGCTGTAACTGACTCCCGGACAATAGAAAGAATCCACTAGCTCCTCCTCAAGTTGTGTCTTTGGACCTTTTATAGCTTGGTTTGACATTCCGTTCAGAAGTTGATACCCATAGCAATGCAGCACTCCCATTGTAACTGCACTGGAGAGTGTCTTAAATACAGAGGACTTTGTGATGCAGAGACTAAAGTATTACCGACTGAGCCAAACACTTTTTCTGATTTGTTTCTCTTTGTCTGTATGTTCTCTCTACTCACTATAAGTTTTATGTACATTGTGCTGAGACACATTATTCAGATCGAAAAGTCGCTCCCACATTCTGGGTAGATGGCATTAGGAAAAAAATGGATAAATCTGAGTTCGAAATGATTGGTAAATGGCCCACATGATGTGTTGAATCATACAGCCCAGGGAGTGATAGAAATTCATCCCTAATCTCAGTAAGATGCCCTCAGTACTGGACTTCAGTGTCCCTGGTTTTGAGAAGTGGGAATCTGAAATTCAAATTTAGACAATTTGCCCATGCCACTTGCTGGAAACTAGTCTGTCCCTGACTCCGATGTGATGGTTTTGCAAGCCGAGTAGACTTGTTTGTGCTGATCAAATGAAGCTACTTGGTAAGGGTAGATCGGACAAATGGGCCAGGCCCCGTCATGGGCTATACCTTGGAAAAGGAGGTGGGAGTGCAAAATGGAGCAAAATCACGATACCATAAAGCTCAAACAGAGAAGAGGATCAAGCCAGTTCCGTCCATGTGTACTGATGGAATTTGTACTGCTCTTCTCTCAACCTCTCAGTATCAATTTTTCATCCCTTTCTTAAGGAGCACTGCTACCTCCTCTGCAAAGTAGTTCTTAATAATATCTCTCTCCCTCCTTAATGAATATTGCTTCGCCAATGAAAGATGTCACAGCCCTGAATCAACTAATTTCTGTGAAGGAAGCTACCATTCAGAGGGGTTTTATTTCTTGTCTCTAACATTGCTCAAATCTGGCAGATTTTGTGCAAAAAAAGTACTGTAATCCTAAAAACTGGCTTAGCCCCACTCATCAATATTCTAAGGAAGCAAAATTTAACTCTGGTCACCATTGATGGAAATGGGCATTGAGTAAGTGTGTATTTAATAACTTATCTATTCTAAAGAATAACCAGTTAATTTGGATCAAGGAATTGAGCAGCACAGAGAGATGAGTTTCACTTCAAATCTGTTCTAGTGTTTATCTGCATCTGAACCGTCTTGTATAATTCTACTTCCCTGCCCATTCATCATGAATATTTCTTGTAACAGAACTTTCAGCAAGGATTTGTGACAGAGAAATCCCATTGTCAGCCAACTCCCTCTGAAGAAATTATTTCTGATCCACCCTTTGATTTTGTTACTTTGTTAATTAAATGCTCGTCCATTGTCATTGAAAATCCGCGAAATCTTGGAGACCTCTGCCAAATCGTCCCTTTTTCTTATTTTAGCTGAAGTGAAACAAGCACCCGCTGTTCACGTTTTCTTCATAACTTAAAACTTTAGCAAAGATCTGTAGCTCGGGTTGTGGGTGAGGTTGTTGACTTGTTTGCCAAGCTGGCTTGCTTCCGTTCAGACGTTTCGTCACCATGCGAGGTAACATCATCAGTGAGGGCTCCAATGAAGCGATGTTGTTCTACTCAGCTTGGAACTTATACTGTCGTGTCCATTATGGTGAATAGTGTAACGGACCAGACAGTATAAATTCCAAATGGAGTAGAACAACGTTGCTTCAACGGAGGCCTTACCTGATGTTACCTAGCACGGTGACAAAATGTCTGAATGAAAACAAGCCAGCTCGGCGAACGAGTCAACAACGTTTCTTAACTGTTAGCCCTCATCCTAATGCTGCATTTTTTCTGTTGCTTTTATATCCTTCTTCCTGTAATGAGTATCTGCACTGTACATGATGATCTATTTGGGCTAATGAAGAACTTTGTGATTAACTCTTTGCTCTGTATGTACACTGTGCCATGTGGTCTTTTTAGGAAAACAAGGATTCTAAAGCTGTTTTTATAACCTCATCTTGTGCTTATGCCTGAAAATGACTTTGACATCTGCGCAGCAAGATCTGCATGCTCCCTATCATACTTAAAATGATGTTTATAATCTTTCCTTTGCCTAATTCTCCCTCCAACATGCATTACTTTTGTTTTCTACATTGAATTGCATTTGTCCAACATTTTACAATCTGTCAATTTACAATACCCCTGGTTTTGTCATCAGCAAATTTTGCTACTGTTTCTCAACGTGCAAGTCATTAATACAAGAGCAGTCCCAATAGATTCATGTATAGCACGCCATGCTGACAGTACTGGACTAGCAGCTCTGAGGCCGTGAATTCAGATCTGACCATGGTGGATTTGAATTCAAGTCTAATAAATTGATTATAGTTAGAGTCACCTCTTGACTCTATCTATAACTTCTCGCTGTCAGGAAGGCAGCGAACATAATCAAAGACGCCTCCAGTCCCGGTTATAATCTCTTCCAACTTCTGCCATTGGGCAAAAGAAACAAAAGCTTAAACACATGCCAACAGATTCCAGAACAGCTTCTTCCCCACTGTTATTAGACTCTTGAATGGACCTCTCAAATTTGAAGTTTGAATGTTGATCTTGCTTTTTGTGTACCTTCTCTGCAGCCATAAAGTTGTATTTGTCGCGCTGTTCTATTACCCTACTGCACTTTTTAATGGTATGATCTGCTGGGACTACGTGCAAAACAAAACTTTTCACTGTACCTAGGTACATGTGACAAAAATAGATCAAATCTGGTAATTTTGCAGATTGGTATCTGGAAATAAATGAGAACGTTTCTGAATGATCACAAAACTCAAGTAAATCATTGTTTTCCCTGGTCTGTCAGCATTTGTTGATAGGATAGAGAAAGGAGCACAAGGACTTTAAGATGATGAGCATAATGGTTTCTTAAGCTAAGGCTGTTTTTATACTGCAGATTGTTGGTTAAAAGGTGGTGAGATATGTCACTGTATAAACTTCCTCAAAATTCTTGAAATTTTGAAACAAGTTTATAAAATAGAAACAAATGTCAGGCAATTGGCGGAATCACTTGCTTCCTCGGTCGTCATTGGCTCTTTATACCAATGGCTTAACTCTCGGGACAACTTGGGAAACTGTCTCAGATGTTAAGTGTTTGTCTCTTTATCCAACCCATAAACAAGACTGCTTTTCAGTGCATGCAGTGGACTTAGGGTTAACTATTCAATTTGTGACTTTGCTGCTCCACACCACTGGACGTTTTTGTATGTTCCCTGAGTGAGACCTTTCTTTTAAAAGAAAAGGTATTTTTCTGCTGTTCAGTCTCTCTCAACCCATCTATGTGCTGACACTTTCGCAGTCATCTCTCCCTCTGTATTGAATTATTGGAATCCCACTTGGCGTTTGCAAAATTGAAATCTACCTACCCGAGGATATTGTGGGATATGGAGCAAAGGCAGCTAAGTAGCAGTTGAGCTGTAGATAAGCTGTGATTTATTTGAATGATGGAGTAGGATTGAGGAGTTGAATGGGCTGCTCTTGTTCCCATGCTTTTAAACCCACATCTTTGCACTATTCAGCTAAAATTGAAGGCATCTCTGTTCAGAAAGGGATTTTTTTTTTCTCCAAACCACTGGGGCCAACGGTTGATGAATTATGAATGCTTTGTAGGAAGTTGTTCATTTGAGTGCTTAAAGTTTCAACTTCTTCTCCCTCAGGTTCAGCCTACTCTCGAAGTACAGTGGTGACTGCTGTTAAGTTTACAATTTCAGACCATCCACAGGGTATTGACCCTCTGCTGAAAGGCTGCATAGGTGAGTCTTGGCATTGGCAAATGGCTTCTGTCAGAAGGTACAGTGTGAGGGAGGCCACATTTGTGGTAATACATAATGATCTTGTATTATCTAAATGTAACACAAATGCTGCATGTAGATTCTGTTTACCTGATGATCTGTTGGGAAAATTTGGGTCATCTTTCAAATGGCAGCCAGTGATCAGTGCTTGAACCCTAGCTATTTGCAACATATGCAAATAATTTAGATGAGGGAACTAAATGTAATATCTCTCCCATTATGTGAAGGTCACAAATGTAGCTGGGAGGGTGAACTGTGAGGAGGATGCTTCCATGTGATTTGGATAAGTTGAGTGAGGGGACAAAAACATGGCAGATGTGCATAATGTGGATAAATATGTGGTCATCCACTTTAGCAAAAGCAGGAAGGCAGATTATTATCTGGTGATAAATTGGGAAAGGAGGAGATGCAACAAGACCCGGGTGTCCTTGTGCAGCAGGTGCTGAAAGTAAGCCTCCCAGCTGCAGCAGGCAGTGAAGAAGGCAAATGGTATATTAGCTTTTAAAGCGAGAGGATTCCAGTATAGGAGCAGGAATGTGTTGCTACAAACGTGCAGGGCTTGGTGAGACCACATTGAACCTCCGATAAAAAGATGAAGTCTACATACAATGCTCTGGCTACGGAGGGAGTGCAGCAAAGATTTGCCAGACTATGTTTGAAGAGAATTGGTTAGCTCTGTATTTACTGGAGTTTAGAATGAGGGTGATCTCACAGAAACCTATAAAATCCTACTGGAATTAGACAGGGTAAACACAGGGTTATCTCTTACAACTTGATTTACGTTCTGATGTCGCTGGAGTGGGACTTGAACCCATGACCTTCCAGCCCAACGGAGAGTGCTACTCTCGAACTTCTGTTTTCAAAAAAAAAAAAAAAAAAATTTTGTCCGGAACTCCTCCTTCCAGTTGGCAACTGATAACTTGGTACAGTCTGAAAGGCTGCAGGAATGCTGTATGCTAGGTTGAGCATTGCTCAATTAAGCCCATTAAATTCCAGCCATGTTTCCAGTGAATCTCTTTGTGTCACATCATTGGGCCTTCTTTTGAGTGAGAATATGCAAGTGCCAGGCTTTGTTTGGCTGGTTGCAGTCAGGCAACAACAGGATTGTTGTCCCTAGGTGTTACCATTTTGCTGTCCAGTGAATACTCTTCCTAAGATTTCACCTCATGCACCAGCCCTTCCAGAATGCATCAGCTCCTCGCTGGGATTCCGTTCCACGGGTGTTCAGTGTTTTCCACATTGCTGAAGCAGCTGTTCCTCATCAGATTGGAAACTTTTAAAATTTATTTTGTACTCTGGATGTGGCTGCCATTGGCTAGGCCAGCATTTCTTGCTCATCCCTAATTGATCTGGAGAAGGTGGTAGTGAAATGCATTCTTGAGCCACTGCATTCTGTGTAGTCTAGGTACACCCACAGTGTCAGTGATACAGCACAGAAGAGACCATTTGACCCATGGAGTATGCACATATCTACACTAGTCCACTTTTCTAGCACTTGGTCCATAGCCTTGAATGTTATGTTTCAAGTGCTCATCTACGTACTTTTTATAGTTGAAGGTTCCTCCAATGCACTGTAAACCTCCTGCCTGTCACGTTTTAAAATTATGCTCCCTCTTTTTATTGACGCTTCAACTAATGGAAGCAGTGTTTCCTATCCACCCTGTCCATGCCCCTCATAATCTTGTATACATCAATCAGGACGCCCCCTCAGCCTTCTCTGCTTTAAAGAAAACAACCAGAGCCCTATCCAGCCTCTCCTTATAGCTAAACTGTTCCAACCCAGGTAATATTTCTCGAGTACTCCCTTGTCTTGTTGTTTTTTCCAAAGTACATCACCTCCCGCTTACGTAGTTAAAATTCCATCTGCCACTGATCTGCTCATAAGACCAACCTGTCTGTATCTTAATGTAACCTCAGGCTTTCTTTCTCTCCTCTATCAACCACTCGGCCTATATTCATGTCATCCGCAAATGTACTTAGCACCACCCCCACCCTGAAACTTCCCCTGTTTTTTAATATAGATAAAAACTTATCACCATCACCCCCACCCCCACCAATCCTGTGCCACTAAGCCAGTTTTAGATCCATCTCACCAAGTTAGCCTGGATCCTGTGTGCTTTTACCTTCTTTCAGTCTCCCATGTGGGACCTTGTCAAAGTCCCTGCTGAAATCCATAAACTACATCAACTGCTCTCCTCTCATCTGCACGTTTGATCACCTCATCAAAATTCAATCAGATTTGTGAGGCATGACCTCCCTTTGACAAAGCCATGCTGACTGCCCTATCAAGTGGTGATTAATTCTGTCCTTCAGTGCTGTTAGACATTGGGAGTTCCAGAATTTTGACCCAGTGTCATTCTTTCACCGACGATATAGTTCCAGTTCATGATACAGTGTGGCGTGGAAGTGAATTTGCAGTTGCCACTTTGACGTGTCTGCTGCCTTTGTCTTTCTATATGTTTGCGCACGTGTTTTTTTGGAGAAGCCTTGGGGCTAGTGAAATCTGCGTCGAGATTTGGCTGCCACTTTACTATCTGTCCGATATTCTTTTCTGCTGCTAGTTGCCTGTTCTGTTCCATGTGACACGGATGCCAAAGGTGCATTTCACTTCCTGAATGTTGCCTGTTTATTTAAACATTGGAGCCTGATGATTAAGAACTTGGGAATATCGTCACCCAAAACCCAGACTTAGTTTCTATGTTGAACCCACCTGGTTGTACCTTTGGGATCAGACCTTGGGGTCACACAGGCGGCTGTGGAGCTTAGCTGAACATTCACCACTGCAATGCCCCTTTAAATTACCACAGATTATATGCTGTGCAGGGCCTGACTGGACAACTTGAGGTCTGGATCATGTTCTGTAAAGCTCAGTGAAAAGGTGCGTGGCTTTTTATTTAAAAGCTGCCAATGTGAATAGCCCCTGCTCTTTCTCCCTTTTCATTCTGAGCTGACCTGGTTCTCCACACTCCAGGATCACAATAGAAACAAGTGTCTGGGATACAAGATACACGTTGTTAGTCTCAGTATGACAAACTTTGATCGGTAGGCTATTGCTAAGTTGGTTGCCACCTGCTGGCTGGCCCAGGTAGTGCTTTTTCCCATGCTGAGCAGAGCAGCAATAACAGGTGTTGGGAGAGTATTGTTTTTGTTTTTAAAAGAGAATGATTATGCCGTGCTGATCTGCAGTCCTAACATTTCCTTTTTTATCTTTACAGGTGACTTTTTGCGGACCCTGCAGGACCCTGATCTCAACGTCCGACGCGTTGCCTTGGTGATGTTCAATTGTGCAGCTCACAATAAGCCTTCCCTGATTAGAGACTTGCTAGAGACAGTGCTTCCACAGCTATACAACGAAACCAAGGTCAGGAAGGAGCTCATCAGGGAGGTAAGCATACCAGACAGAAGGATTGAAAACAAAGCTGAACTAAGTAGCATTGCATCACCTTTTACTGTCCCAAGTGTGGCTGCCAAATGTACACAGCAAAGTCCCATTCACTGACATGGTAATGGCTACATTAAATCAGGTCATTTGACTGAGACATTGACCATAACTCCCATGCTGTTTGCTATCGAGTTGCAGCATCTTTCCTCCCAAAATGACAGGGCAGATGGTGCTGACACTTAATTTGAGAAACTGTACTCCTGATGACTGCCTTACTGGAATGTCAGGCTACATTTTGGGCTTTGAGTCCAGAGTGGAACTTGAACCTAAAATGCAAAACTGAGTTGTGAGTGTTACCCGGTGGTTCAGAGTCCTTCCTCATGAGTCCCCAATACACTACTGGGAAGAGGTTGAAAAATTACTCTGTCAAATCACTTTTACTTTCCCATTGTTATTGGCATGATTAATCCCTGGGCAGTGTAACAGAGACCTGATTGGTGTCTCCTACTCAGTCTTTGACTTCGAGTTTATGGATAATGTCCCAAGGCCCCTATCACCAATGGGTACAAATCCAGTAATTTTTCTATCTTTAGGTTGTTGTCATCTAATTTTGTAAATGTTACACCTATTGTATTATTTCCAAGCAGTTAACTTTATTAGGAATAATCAATGATGAAATGTGGTTTTGTTTACTATCGCACTGTTCCACTAATTTTGACACTTGCAATGTTAATCCTTCCTTTTCCTTTTGTACCAGAGATTTTCTGACTAATCTTTGTTTTTTTTTCCCCCCCAGGTAGAAATGGGACCTTTCAAACACACGGTAGATGATGGGCTTGACATTCGGAAAGCTGCTTTTGAATGCATGTATACCTTGCTGGATAGTTGCCTTGATAGGCTGGACATTTTTGAGTTTCTCAACCATGTGGAAGATGGCTTAAAGGATCACTATGATATCAAGGTGAATGTGCTTATCCGTAAATATGTGCTCCTGTGTGGGTGATGAGTGGGCAGAGACCTGGTGATGGCAGGCAGTGGGCAGAGGTGCAGTGACAGGCAGACAAGAGTCAGTGCCTAGTCTGCTCTGTTATGAATAGATGGAGGCTGGCGGTCCTGGCAGTTGAGTGGGCAGGTTTGAGGTCTGCGTTCAGGTAACTTGCTCAAAATGAGCTGATTCAAGGTGACAAGGTATTCATCTTTGAATTCTTATAATTTCACCCATTAAAGAGGAGAAGCAGATCCCTTTTGTTCTCCGCTGAGTTTGTACTCTAATAGCAGATATGCAAGCACACTCAGCCAGCCTGACTGACTGATTTATGTTGCTTTGACTGTGCAATCTGTTTCTCAGTCCTGCACAACCCACTAATGTGAATGTCTATTTCCCATCCCTTCTAAAGTAGCTCTGCTCTTCTCCCTGTTACGCAGATGCTGACGTTCATCATGTTAGCACGGCTATCAACAGTTAGCCCCAGTGCAGTGCTTCAGAGGTTAGACAGGCTGGTGGAGCCCCTGCGTGCAACCTGCACTACTAAGGTGAGTTCTTCAATTTTTATTTCATGGGATGAGTGTGTTGCTGACAAGGCCAATGTTTTTTTCACCTCTAATTACCTTTGAAGGATGTTGTAAGCCGCCTCCTTGAACCATTGCGCCACATATCATTTAAGTGCCCACAATGCATTAGGGATGGTGCTACAGGTTATTGACCCAGTGACAGTCAAAGAAAGGTGTTATATGTCCAAGTCAGGATGGTATGGCTTGAAAGGGAACTTGTAGGTGGTGTGAAGGTCATGTGTTTGTGATCCTTGATCTGTTGGAGGAGCCTTGCTGCAGACAGTACACATTACTGGACTTTAGATGGTGGAAAGCGGTGGATGAAGGGCCGGTCAAGCGAGCTGCTTTGTCCTGAATGGTGTCAAGCTTCCTTCGGAGTTAGAGCTGCCCTTATCAAGGCAGGTGGAGAGTATGCAGGTATGTGCCATGTAAACAGTGCGGAGGCATTACGGGTCAGGAAGCAAGTCAATTGCTGTGGAATTCCTGGCCTTTGACCTGATTTTTGTAGCCATAGAATTTATGTGGCTTGTTTAGTTTCTGATAAATTCTGTGATAGTATTGAATGTTAAGGAGATGGTTGTCAAGAATAAATGGAAATGTGAAATTCAACATTAAAAGAGCGGCCATTGTTTTTGAATGATGGCGAAGTGGCTTACTTTTGCTCCTCTTTCACATTTTCGTATCTGTGTGTGGTTGAGCTTAGGAAAGTACCCTGAGAACCTTGTGCTGCAGCAATGTACGAGAATCGAGATGACTGGTTTCTAAGAGTCTCATGTCTTTGCTAGAGATTATTGAACATTGAGGATTAATGCAATACCCATGTGAATAACTGGCTAGCAACAAGCTTGATGGATTTGAATCTTAAACTGCTCTCCCTCCCTCCCCTCCCAGGTTAGTGGGTAAGACAAAGAAACTGAAAGGAGGCTGAAATAGAGTGTCGGTTGATGCATACTGGGTGGAGTGTGCTAAATGTGCTGAATTTCCTTTCCTAATTCTACATTTCCTGTTTTATTGCAATGTAGACAAATAGGTGCTTGTCCAAACTGAAGCCAGTTCAAAAATCTTACTCTTCCTCTCTCACTGTTTTCCATACACTTCCACTTCCTCACTCATCAGCTATAACTTAACGATAACATCTGGAAGAGCAATTCCACTCTCAATGCTAACTCCTATCCCTTCCTGGACAATGATTCCCACCAAAAATTGTCAAGTTACTGTTTCCCAAGCCTTCATTGTCATCTCCTTCCAAGAACTCCCTTCTCAATATTCCTGAACCCAGTATAGCCTTTTTCTTGTGCTCATCTAAGATCCACAGAGAACACTGTCCTAGTAGACTCCTCTTGTAAGCCTGTTTTTGTTGTGTGGAACTGATTTCTTTCATCTGAAGAAAGATGACTGGACTCGGTATAAACTCTGCTTTCTCTCCACAGATGCTGCCAGACGTGCCGAGTTTCTCTAAATTTCTGTTTTGTTTCTTCTTGTCTTTGTTTTCTCTGCTCTTGCTTAGTTCTTTCCCACCTATGCCCCAATCCTTCTAAAGTCACCTGTCCCTAACTACCTGCTTAGACGCTTAAACTCCCATCCCCACCAGGATTATCTGGTAAGTCCCTCCACTGCTTCCCCACGCAGTCCCATCTGCCACCGCTTTGCTCTATCTTGGCTGAACTTGTTCTTTCTTTGAATAATTTCTTCTTTAATTTTACTCACTTCCTCCCTTTGTAATAGGTGTCGTATGGGAACAGCTATTGGCTGTGTGGAATTGATTCACTCAATCGGGCCCTCTCCATATCTCTTCATCCAGTATATCCAGTTTGTTGAAGGGAATGTTTCCAGCTTTTGACCTGAACTGGAAAACTTAATCAGCTTCACTTCCAATTCTCACCCTTTGTTTCACTTTACATGATCCTTCTCATACTCTTCCCTTCCTCAACTTTTTTTGTCTCTATTTCTGAGGATAAACTTATTGATAAGTTTTCTGTGAATTTAAAAATAAGTAGTGCTGGAGAAACTCGGCAGGTCTGGCAGTGTTTGTGAAGAGTGAAAGTGTTTACATTTCAAGTCCAATACAACTCTTCTACAGACATCAAGTTCAGAACGGAGATCTACTATGAGCCAATTGACTGTAACAGGTACCTAAACAACTTCAAGTTGCTTCCTGTATGGACTCTCTTCCATTCTGTCAGTTGTGCCATCTTGGTGTCACCTGTCATACCAATATTTGATGGCTAATGTTCCTTTTTAGTTACACGAGCACGCCCCAGATACATAGAAGATAGGGGCAGGAGTAGGCTGTTCAATCCCTTGAGCCTGTTCCACCATTCAGTATGATCGTGGCTGATAACTGTCCCCAAACCCTTTGATCCATTTAGCCCTAAGAACTATGTCTAACTCATTTAAAAAAAGTCAATGTTTTGGTCTCAACTGCTTTCTATAGTAATGAATTACATGGGCTCACCACTCTCTCTGGGTGAAGGCATTGCTCATTATTAAGACACTTTGAGATATCTGGTTATTGTGAAAATCAAGTATGGTTGATGTGTCTCTTGACAGACTTAGCTTCATTTCCTTCACATCTCTCTCATTCCCTTGAAATCTTATCCAAAGTGGAACAAAACTGGACAGTACGTTCAACTGTGGCCTAACCAGTGGTTTGTCTAAGTTTTTAATATGACCTCGATTTGACTTCTTTTTGTTTGTATTTCTGCACATTGACAAGCCCACATTTCCCAGGGGCTATCTGAGAGGCAAGGTTCTTATGCTATGTTACGTCCTCTTGCAGGTAAAGGCTAACTCAGTGAAACAGGAATTTGAGAAGCAAGATGAGCTGAAGCGCTCAGCGATGAGGGCAGTAGCAGCTTTACTCACAATCCCGGAGGCTGAGAAGAGCGCACTGATGGCAGAGTTCCAGTCACAGATTCGGTCTAACCCTGAGATGGCGGCTATTTTTGAAAGCATCCAGAAAGACAACGTATCCGCGAGTAGTACAGAAACAATGGACCTCAGCTAAAACATGCAAACCAAAAGGATCTGAAGATGCTTTGGCTTCATAATTAACTCCTGTGTGAAATATTATTTATATCTTGCCATTTGGATTTTTTTTCCTGTTGTTGCAGCCCCAGCTATCAGCTTAATAGTTGATAATATGGTTTGGCTGTCTGTGTTGCCTTTGCATGACTTTTTTGTTTCTGGATATTAATGTTCACCATATGGTCCATATAGTATTCCCTCTACCCATCACCCAACTACTGTATTAGAATGTTGGGGGTCTCAATGGTGACTGATGGTTGTACTCGGATTTGCTTCCCTCAACCCCGTCCCTTTGGGAAGAAAGAAGACTGGGCTGTGTGTGTGCTGGGGGAGGAAGGGAAGGAGAAAAGAGAGAATGTAAGGTCTTATGTAGCGTCACTCAAGTGATTGCCTCATAAGCCACACAATAAAATTGGAGAATGTACTGGTGACCTTATCATTCTAACCAAAGAAGAATTTCAAATCTATCAGTGCATGACCTCAGTTCCAGATAGCATGCTCATACTACTATCTGGAAGATTCCATAACCTAAAAAGTCCAAATATTGGACTGCCAGCACCAAAGGATGTTCACATTTTTAAAAAGACAGGACAGAACTGATTGTAGAAAGGTGCATTGACTATGGGTGAGGAAATTGGCCTGAGGGGGAAGAAAATGTTTAACTTGATGAATAACATCAGATGACAGTTACAAACTAATGACTCTTGTTCTGACCTTGAGTAACAATAACTGTGTAAACGCAGTGACAGTAACCCGTATAACATGCAAATTGACAGTTGCTATTCTGTATGGATAAACATTTTTTCTGGTCTCTCAGCCAGGAAATCCTGGGTGCTTTCAGGCAGTTGTAGCTGAGAGCACCATTGCCTTACTACCATGGATTTTCGTGGGTTATTAATGCAAGATTTATTGAATTATCCATGTGGCCCAGTTGAACCTTGTCATTGTTGATACACAGCAACCTGTACTATCCCCAGGCTCCACAAACAGATTGTATTTCTCAGTCTTGGTCATTTAAAGTTAATAGAAGGAATCTCGGCTGTTCATAATCTCTTATGCTTTTCCAGCCATGTATTTACCACTGGGTAACTATAATTAAGGAATGCACATAGTGATTTCATGGCCTGTTGCATTCCTTATCCCAGACAAAACTATCTTCTTGCTATGAGGTGTATTCTCACTTTTGATTATAAATAGCGGAAGTAAATTTGAAGGTATGAGTATCTAGATGTTGACCTGTGAGAAATGAACCTTGGTGCTCAAGTATAGTATGTTTCATTTGAGTGGTGCTCACTACATATTACCTTCCTTTAATCCATGATCAATGTGTGGTGTCCTTAAGAATCAGGAACCTTTTTTTTTCCACAGCCAGATTCTTCTGTTGAGGATTTTTTGGACTGAATGTGTGCTTATTGCTGTTAGATGAGTCTTGGTTCTTACAGATTCAACCATTGGAGGGGAAAAATACATTTGTTTCAGAGCAGTTCATAGGATTGAAATGGTGAACTGCTGGTGGAAGTTCTCCCCACCCCCCACCCTAATCACCTGAGTTGACCTGAACTCAGTGCCAGTACAGACTGCATTTAAAGCACGTGCACACTCCTCAAACGCATAGCTAATTTGGCTATTGCATCTTGCTCTATATTTAAGCTTAAAAATAAATTCAGTGAATTGGACAAAGTCCGTTCACTACAATGCACTGTTAGACCTGGGATCTGAGGTGAAGTAGCCTACTTAGGGTCCTCATGTAAATTTTCAGGTACTCGTCAGTATTGGATTTAGAGTTTAGCAAAACTGGGAGAGAATGGGTGCAGTGATGATGATCAACACCTAGATGTCTCCAGCACAGCTTGTAAATATATCACCCATTAGTTTCAAATGTGCTACTGGCATCTAGTGTCACTATATTGATACTGTGGCAGCTGTCACATGCACTGAATTGTGTCAGCAGGTGGTTTGTTTGACATTAGATCTGTTTGATCATGTGCCCAGTTGAAATATCGTGCATTGGTTTAGATTGAGTGTTGCTAATATGTCTGGTGGTTTCTTGGATCTATCAGCTTAAAATACAGGATGACTTGCAAGCTATAAATGTTTTTTGAACCTGATCAGCTACAAAGTGCACTGGAAAACTGCCACAGAAAGCAATTATAGTGACTCATTTGCAACTTCTCCAGTTTTTTTTTTAAAAAGTCAAAGGCAATTGTCAATATGGAGTGTTATATTAATAAAGTTTAAAAATATTTTGGAGCAAGTGGTATTATAAAAATAAAGGTTGAAGCACGGGGTTCTTTGTGTGCATTATTGTCATATGCTCTGTATGCCTCAGATCTGGGTAATCTTCCCACTGTACCAGGCTGTAGCCTACCTGTTTAAAACATTGCATCTAGAGAGTTGAACATGCATCAGTGCAGGAAGAGCAATCAAGTAAGCTGTACTACAGCCAGGTGAGTAGACTGATCCTATAATCCTACCAGTTTGCTCAGCACTAGTATGACAATAGTCATTATCAGCTGGTAGCCATGAACATTAAAGGTAGACCAGGTTCCCAGGGTACAACGTTGATACCAACATTGTGAAGATTCGGAAGCAGTGTTCCAGCACAGACATTAAGAAAGAAAGCACGATGGAAGTTTGACAGCCTTGAGCCAGCACATAAGGAATGTGGTTGCTGTCACCGGTGGATAAATACATGCTCCAGAACATAAAGACCCATGCTATGGAAATACAAAAATGTGAAGTGATTGATAATTTTAACAAAAGCAATCAATATAGCATGAGGAAAAAGGTTTTAATCTGATTTGCAAGGTGTGACATCAAGATAAAAGTACAGGCTCCAGTCTAGCCTTTCCCCATGTAGCTCATCACTGCTCAGGTTGAATGTTTGTAATAAGACAGCATATCCTCCAGGGAACTGATTCTTGCTGACTGATCCTGTTCCAAATGGGTTTGTGACTTCCCCACATTTGTATACTGCTGTCCCTCATGAGATTGAGTCTGCTGGTAGGAATATCTGGGTAGTCCTTTCTTCCAGCTTCCACAGTTACTCGACTTCTTGAGATCACTATAATACTCTGAAGGGGGTGCAAACTCCGATGGCCTTTCGTCCCTGGGATCTGGCCGATTCCTAGACCAATGTCCAAACAGTAGTTCTGGAATGATTTAAAGTAACATGAATGATCAGTTAAATGTTAATAATGCAGGAAGTGTATAGAAGCTACGAGCAGGATTAGGCCATTTGGGCCCTTCAAATATAATCATGGCTGACGCTCTATTTTAATGCCATACGCTCACTTTCTCCCCATACTTCTTGATGCCTTTAAAATCTCAAAAAGTTCTCTTTCTTGAATATATTCTGAGACTGTGCCTCCTCAGCCTGCCATAGTAGAGAATTCCACAGGTTCACCATCCTTTGAAAAAATGTTTATTTCCTCATCTTAGTCTTAAATGATCTACAATGAATCCTAAACCGTGACCCTTGTTTCCCATAGCCATTGAGTCTAGAACAAGATTTTAATAGGGCTGTGGGGGTGTTGTGTGCCAATAGGATTCCCCACTCATTCTTCCAATCTCTAGCAAATACAGGGCTAGTCAATCCAATCTGTCCTCATGACAATCCTGCCATCCCCAGTCTGGTGTGACTTTGGTGAGGAGACCAAAACTGGACACAATACACCAAGTTTCATCATGGTTGCAGTAAGATTTCCTTACTCCTGTATTCAAAGTCTCTTGCAATGAAAGTTAACATTTGCTTGCTGCACTTGCATCCTTACTTTCAGTAACAGTTTACAAAGAGATCTGGGTGTCTTTGTGCAAAATGCTGATGCAATCTATCATTTAAATTACACTGTACCAGTTACCAAAGTGAATTTATCACACTTGTACTGCACCTGCCACACACTTTACATCCTCCTCACCACTTGCATACCCACCTTATTCTGTATTGGTCCATGAAATTCTTATCTATGGTACATGTTTACCCACAAACTAGCAATTTCATAAAACATGAAGCCATAAAATCAAAGCATGATAATTTCTCCCTCCACCCTTCAACACAGATCCCTACTTTAAAGAACACCAGTTCAAACTCCTACATTTTCTGATAGAGAAAGATAACCAAGTCTATCCGACCTTCAGTTCTCTCTTCATCAAATACTGATCTAGTTACCTTTCCCTTTGTCCCATTCCCGGATGTGTGGCACACCAGGTGTTGTGTAATGACCTCCACCTTATTCTTTGTGCAGGTAGCTTCAGTCTGTGTTACACTTGGTTCTACTGGCATAGAGTTTGATTCCTCAGTACCTTCACCTGTGCATGAGAAGAGATCACACTCAGAACGTGAGTTGTAAACTAATCAAGACTTCCATTATAAAAGGCAAAACCATGTTTACGACAGACTCTATTCTTACTGTTCTGCAACATACCTTTTCAGCACTTCAGGTACGTCTTTGAAATACACATCCTGTGGGCCTGAACAACATTATGCAGAATTGCATATGCTGCCTTGGAAAGCTACCAAACACTGAGCTGATCCCTTTGCCACTACATCCTTAAATGTCAGGGAAATGAATGAGGTCAGAGGTCAGAGGTCAAAACAAGTCACCCCCCCCAACTCTCACTTATGTGAGTCACTGACAGGTGGGGATAGTGGATATAAGCAAGGAAATTCCATTAGGAAACAAGTTTGTAGGTAGGGCAGCTGGCATATAATTAGAAATACCTTTGTAATTTTACTGCTGTATGTAATCATCAATTCACTGATGATACTAGTTATATGCAATTTTTACACAGTCTTGTGGAGAGATTTTGTAGCACTGGATGAACATAAGCTTCAGGAAACTTCTAGATTCTAAGGTGCATGTTTGCTATAAAATTATTTTTCTCCCTAGCTCATGCATCGTTGACCAACTGACAAAGCAGCAATGCCCAGTGAAAAGTTACCCACAGATTCCAAGAGAGGAACACCAAGCATCCACGCTTCCAGATTCTGCTTGTGGAGCCAAAGGGAAAATGTACTCTTCCTACATGCCCTGGGGATTGCTGCAGCAAACCTCCCACAGTACGGGGCTGCGCTGTGTACGCTCACTCATCTACCCACATATTTAACGAGGTCAGCCTCAGACCCCTTTCTTTCCCCCACTGACTCATCAGGTCTGATCACGCACTCCTTTTTGGGAAACAGGAGAATTACGCTGGAGTAGTATCTACGTGTTTTCTTTTTGTCATTCTCAGGAAGTCCGTGCTCCTACTCTCTGCAGATAATAAGGAATTTGTATTGACAAAACAAAGATGGAAATCTTTGTTTCTCTTCCCCTTGTCCCATTTCCTGGGCCTTACCCAACCGAAAGGTTTGCTCGCACCTGCTTCATTCTGCTCTGGCAGCTCTGCTGTGTCTTCAATCCCATCACCTTGCAATTTCTTCATCTTCCTCTGACGAACCTTTGCCAATCGAGCATTCAACATGGCTTTGCGCTTCTCTTTCAGTTTCTCTCGTTTTGTTCTTTGATCCATTGTCTACAACAGAAAGCAAAGCTCAGCTACTACGACTCTCGCTGGAGTTTGCAGACAAACAAAATCACTAATCAGAACTCTAGTGCACTCAGGTGATACTGCCATCTCCTGTGCCCCCTGCCCCCACCTCGAGAACAGCTTCTCTATTAGGCAGGACCTGTCACAATCCTCATTGCTGACCTCAAATAACACAAGATAGAACGTGAAGTTGCAGTTCTTCACAGGAATGGAAAAGACCAAAGCAAGATTACTTCTCACCAGCTTTTAGTTCACTAACAACAGCAATTGCATGGCTATACTAGGAAGTGAGGAGCAGCACACTCATTGCAGCATACACCCTTCAGCTGGTGGTGCTAGCCAGTTTCCTTATTATGGTCAGAGTCCATTATGACTACTCAATTGCATGATGTACCATCTGTTTTTTCCAAAATTCATGGTTAAGCTCCAATAAATGAGAAAGAAACACTATTCTGGTATGGTCAGAAGGTGCCCAGCTGAGCAAGTCTGAGCCCATCTTGTGTAGATGAATGCAACCATACTTAGGAAACTTTTGCTTTCAGTTTCTCATTTTTTTTTTGCTGATAAATTATTTAGTAAATTGAACCCAATTCCAACCCAAGAACCATTTACAAATTCCCTTATAAAACTCAGTAAGAGTGGTTTGCAGAGCACAGTTAAAAGTCAACAGTGTTGGTGTGGAACTGAAGTCAGTTATACACCACACTAGATAGGGATAACACATTTCCAAACGTAAAAAGACAATCTATCATGGTTACTTCTACTAATGCTGGCTTATCATTTCCAGATTTAATTTTTTTTGAAGATTGAATCTAAATTGTCATCATGGAACACAAGTTTCACTTCTTATTGGTCCAGGCTTTTAGAGGACTAGTATTGTAACATACTTTAGTCTTATACAGTTTACTGTATTTTAAATATAATAGTGCTTTTATCAAGTCATAGCTTCACTCACACAGATAAGTTGCCTGTGTCTATTGAGCTTGGAGCTACTCTCACGTAACACCCACATACACCTACTTTCCACTACATGCTGAACTGATAGAAATCAGGGCAACCTGGGTTAGAATGCCCTCTCTTTGACTAAAGCTCAGGAGGCCAGTAGTAGCAGCCCAAATACTCCAGCACAGATTGGCAATTTAACCTAGAACTTCCATTCCTAGTTTCATCATAAATGTTCACTCGACCTTCACCGTGACTTTAACATTCTTTCTATTTCAGCATCACCCATATCTTTGTATAAATCCATGACCTTGTTTTCATAATCAATAAAAGTATATCAAAATGATACAGAGCGTAGATTCCCCTTTGCCACTTTGTCCATTTCATGGTTGTCTTTACCTGCACTTCCACCTTTTGGGATCTAGGTATCTGTGCCCTAAGATCTATCCCTTTAGGGCTGATTTTGTTTCAGGACTTTTCAGAAAAAAAATCTTTTGCTGCCCTGAATTTCCTACTTAGCTAATCAGTAAGTGTTTTTATTCAGTAATCCTCAGTTGCCTGTCTAAACTGATATCACCCCAACTTTTGAGATCATCCCTCTTGTGAATGTGCCCAAGCCATTGATATGCATGGAAACAAGGTACTGGACCATTGGTTCTCTCAAAAGGGTCAGGAATCTATAAAATTCACTACCCAAGAGTGTGGTGGATGCTGGCACACTGAGTAAGTTTAAGAAGGAGCTAGACAGATTCTTAATTAGTAATGGGTTGAAGGGTTATAGAGAGAGGGCAGGGAAGTGGAGTTGAGGCCGAGACAA